GCCATACCAGCTGGATGGCGATCATGAGCACCGTCTTGAGCGTGAAGGTCCGGTCGCACAGGTCGAACAGGTCCTCCAGGCTGGGCCCCAGCAGCTCCAGCACCATGGCGTTGTACTTCCCGCACGGGCCGAAGTAGTAGACCTGAGGGACGCCCTCTGGAGCGCGCGGGACGGACGCGGAGCTGAGCCCCAGCACCTCCAGGCCCGCCCCGCCCCCGCCCCCTGCCGCTACCTGTGGCGCTGAGCTGCTTGTAGAACCGGTACTCCAGGTGCAGCTGCGGGGCCCGGGACTTGATCGGCTCCTGGGGAAAGGGGACGGTCACCCCGGGGCCCCGGGGCCCCGGTCATCACCCTGAGACCCTGAGACCGCGGGCTGCCCGGGGGTGGGAGCGGACTCACCAACTTGATAGCCACGTACTCGTTTGTGTAGAGATTCTTTCCTGCGGGCCAGAGAGACGCGTGAGGGCCGAGGGCCGACGAGGAGACCCTAGGCCCGCCCTCCCACGGGCACCCTGACCCGGACCGGCAGGCAGGGCCAAGCTCCCCGGGGTGTGCGCCCCGCGAGGGTGCCCCACAACGCCCGTCCCCCGCAGGCCGCCTCCCTGTCCACCCCTTCCATCTCACAGGCTGGAAGGGACGTGGGGGAAGGTGGGGTTTCTCAGCGCCCCACACACCCTGCTTCTTCCCAAACCCCGGCCGGGGCCCCCTGTGGCCCCCAGCAAGCCCCCACAGCCAAGCAGGGCTTCTGCAGCACGTGACTGCTGGAGACAGAGTCCTCTGCCCGTGGGCCTTCTGGACCTCTGTCCCAGGAAGCACGCGTAGCATGTGCTCCCTCACCGGCGAGTAGTCTCACCCATCAGCCCACCACCAGGGAGACGTCAGCTCCTAAGGCTGCTGGAAACTTCTGGAAGGTGGCCAGGGAGTCAGCACCCCCAGCACGACAGCTCAGAGCCCCATGGTCTGCCAGCTCTGGACACAGGTGCCCACACAGTGGACGATGGCACATGGCCCCAAAGGTCCTGCCCACACCAGCCCAGGGCAGGCAGGCCAGCACACCAAGCACCTGCTCGGCTGAGGTCCGGGTCACATCTGTTGGGTGACCCGTCATAACCAGGGGCCCAACAGCCCCTCAGGCCTCGCCACTCCACGCCCTGGCCCGCATGTGCACACACGGCACAGAGCACACACCCCACACACACCGTGCCGCCCATGCAGGAAAGCCATCCCAGCCCCACAGCTCCTCCCAGCACCCCGTGGTGACCCCTTGTATCCTGCTGACACGGCACTGCCCTCAGGTGCAGGCTGAGCTGTGTTGCCTGCCGTGCAGCTCGTGGCTGCCTGGGCAGCGTCTGCTGCAGGAAGAGGCCTCAGTTCCTCCTCACGGGCCATGGCTAGACAACCAGAGACCCTGGCGGTGGTGGCTTGGCCATCCCACCAGGACGGGTGAAAGCCTGGAGCCCCAAGTCCACATAGGCACGCCCTCACAGCGCCAGGCTGGGGTCCCTCAGACCCCAGGAGCCCTTCCCTGGCCAGCCGTGTGTGGGTGTGGCCTCAGGAGCACTCTCCGGGGAGCCCTAGCAGGTACTTGCTCCCACGGAGCCCCAGTCCCACAGGTGTTCCCCTCCCGGCGTGGCCTGCGTCTGCGGTGTGCCCCTGTGTCCTGCCAGGCAGCCCCCACCATGGGGACAGGACTGCGTTGGCCACTCGCGGCCCAGGGGCCGGCCCGGCCACCTCCAGCCTGGACCCCCACGAGCAGAGCTGCCTTCTGTGGCATCTGCCTCCCCGACTCCCCTGGGGCCGGCCCTGCCTGTGGGCCCGATGGCGCCTCGGCCCTCCTTCATGAAGCACCTGTTAGATCCTTGGCCCGTCCTCAGCGGAATCGGCTGTCTGTCGTGACCGAGCTGGGGCTCTGAGGCGCCCAGGGCCCTGTCTCTGGCGAGTGGGCGCCCTGCAGATGCATCTTCCCGCCTGCGGCTCCCAGAGGCCTCCTCCCCTTGGGTGACGCCCTGCCGGCCTGCTCGTCCCCAGGGCACGCCTGTTCGTGCCTGCTGAGGCAGCCTCGCCTGGCCCCACCCTATGGGCTGCCTGCACCTTAGCCCAGGGAGTCACGCTCTGGGTGTGAGGCGAGCATGCCCGGCACCTGATGTCTCCATGGGCCTAGACTCCTGGAGGCTGGTGCTCTGGCCGATCTCTGGAGCCTCACAGAGGAGACCCGGCTGCGAGCCCCTAAGAGCACAGCCAGAGGCTGTGGGCCAGGCCCCTGGGGGCTGGCAGCCACAGGAAGGTGCTGGAGGCACACAGGCTGGAAGATCCCGGCACCCCGACGTGCAGAGCCTTCTTGGACTCCTGAGATGGGCTGAGGCCCCTGAATGCCCATGTCTTGGGGCAAGGGCTCTGTGGCCGGAAGGAACAGCCACCCTCAGACCTGCTTGACAGAGCTGGAAGCCAGTCCTGGACAGAAGCCAGATGAGCCACGGGACCTGTCGCCCCTCGGCTCGCGAGACGTCGTCACTGCATGTCAACCGGTAACGCCAAGCCCAGACACTGACAGACAGCCACACCCCACGGCAAGAAGAGAGGTCAACGGGGTCACAGGCGTCAGCCCTGAGAACAGCGCCGGGGCCTGCATGTGTCCCCCAGAGCTCATGTGGGAGACACGTGGTCCTCTGCTCGGGGGTCCTGGGGGGGCTCACGGGGTGCCACCTGCACACATAGATTAATGCAGCTACCACAGAGGGGTGCCTCATAAAAGAACAGATTCAGCCAGGCACTGTGGCTTAAGCCTGTCATCCCAGCCCTTTGGGAGGCAGAGGCGAGAGGACTGCCTGAGCCCAGGGGCTTGAGACCGGCACGGGCAACTTGGCGAGACCTCGTCTCTACAACAAATCACAAAAACTAGCCAGGCGTGGTGACGTGCATCTGTAGTCCCAGCTACTAGAAAGGCCGAAGCGGAAGGACTGCCTGAGCCCAGCAGGTTGAGACTGCAGTGGCCGTGAGCATGCCACGGCATTCCAGCCTGGGCAGTGGAGTAGGCCTCCAACTCAAAAGAAAAGCACAAAAAAAGCAAAAAGACAGGTACAGCCCCTCTCCTGCTCTCGCCTGCCCTCTGCCTTCCACCGCAGGAGGAGGCAGCCAGGGCTCCCCTTGTGGGCTTTTAGCCTCCAGAACCGAGAGCAATTTCGGTCCATTATAAACACCCAGCCTGGTACCCTGTTGCAGCAACGTGAAACAGACAAGACAACCAGCTGTTACAGATACACTCAAAGACTTAAAGAAAAAGTCACCAGAATGAATGCGCAGATGGGAAGTCTCAATAAAGAACTCAAATGGCACCAAAAAATACCCCCGTGACATAAAAAAGCCACCAGCAGCCTCCCCAGGCTGGACGCCGTGGGAAGGGGTGAGCTACCCAGGCAGGTGCGGGGTGAGACCCGAGGCCAAGGAAGACGGAAGAGCTTCAGGGCCCAGGAACAGGTCCAGACGCTCCCACCACACGAACAGCCGCCCAAGAGGAGAGCGGGGCTGCAGCAGGAACAGCCTCTGCCGAGGTAACGGCTGGACGTCTTTCCAAGCTAATCAAGTCTCGGAGCACAGATGCAGGAAGCTGCATAGTTCTGAGGAGGACAGACAGGAGAAGCCAGACCTGGCCAGCACAGCCAGGTCTGAGCCAAAGGCGAGGTCTTACGTGCCCAGAAAAGGGACACACAGCACGTGGGGACAGCATGGCACTCCAAGTTGCCAGGGAGATGCAGACAGACCCTGAGACCCACCACACATCCCCCCACAGGCCGGACACCCCGCATGCCGGGTGCCGCCAGCAGGGCTCCGCGGGAGACTGTGTGGAGGCCAGCCTCATGGGTCTCCCACAGTCCTGAGGGCCAGGTTTAGATGAGGACACACAACCAGGCCCGCAGGACATCAGGGCAGTGATGCTCAAGAGTGCGACCGCAACAGCCGGGCTCGGTGGCTCAGCCTGTCATCCCGCGCCTTGGGAGGCTGAGGTGAGTGGATGCCTGAGCCCGTGGGTTCGAGACCCGCCTGGGCAACTTGGCGAGACCTCATCTCTACAATAAGTCAAAAAATTAGCCGGGCGTGGTAGTGCGCGCCTGGAATTCCGGCTACTCGGAAGGCTGAGGTGGAAGGATCGCCGGAGCCCAGCAGGTCGAGGCCGTGGTAGCTGGATGCAGCCACTGCACTCCAGTCTGGGCGACAGAGTGAGACTCCAACTCAAAAAAAAAAAGAGTGTGACCGTGGAGACGCCTGGACACCCCTATGCAGGGAGGCGCCCCAGTGCAGCGGGATGCTGACACATGGCAGGCGAGTCCACAGAGCAGACAGAAGACACGTGCGACTCTGAAACACTGCTCCAGATGAAGCCAGCCCTGCCCCCCCGCCCGCTCAGCTGTCTGATGTCAGTATCCCTGATGACCACTTGGGTCCCCAAGTCGCACAGGGCCACTCCCAGGCTGCAGAGTGGAAGACCGCACCGGGCGCGTGTATGCGTAGGTGTGCGTGCATCTGTGGACGTGTGTGTCCATGTGTATGTCAACACCTGTGCACGTGTGTGGCTGTGTGAGCATGTATTTGCATGTCTGTGTGTACAGGTGTTTGTGTGTCTGCCCGTGCATATGTATTTGAGTGTTTGCACGTGTCCGTGTGTCAGTGTACATGGGCACTTGCGTATGTGTCTGTCTGTGCATGTGTGTCAGTCTGTGCATGTGTGTCACTGTGCACATGTGTCTGCATGTGTCTGGGTGTGTCACTGACTTGTGTGTGCATGTTTGTGTCTCATGTGCATCTGTGTGTCATGCACGTGCATGTGTCTGCACGCTTGCACATGTGTCTGAGTGTGAGCACACATACACGTCCTGAGAGGGTGGAGGATGAGGAGGCGATGCTCCCACGAGGGAAGCTCAATCCACTAGAGGAGAGATGCACCCTGAGACCCCTAGGCCACAGGCCACTTCACAGGTAAGTGAAGGTCCGTGGCCCAAACCCAGAGGGGGCCAGGTGAGGGCTGGGGGAGATTCCAGTGGCCTCTGCCCAGGCCAGTGTGGACTCCAGCTCGGCACGGGCTCCCTGTGTGCAGCCCAGAGACCATGCACGCCCTCCCCGCCATGGCCTCTCGCCTCCCGGGAGGGGACCAGCTGCTGGAAACAGTCTCGTCTGTGCAGCGCTGACAGCCACCATCACGCTGATTTACTGTCCCGTCTGCCCAGAGATGGAGCGTCATCGGCCCTACTTCACAGGGGAGAAAACTGAGGCAGGGAGGCAGGGACACCGCCGCAGTGCCTGGCGCACAGATGGGGCACAGGCGTGGGGTCCAAGGGCCTCCCACCCTGCGCTCCTGGGACCCCAGGCGGGTGCTCCTGGAGGTGGGGCCGCATCAGCCCCGCACCCTGGGTCTTGGTTTCCCGCATCTGACGCTTGGGGGGAGGGGGACCCAGAGGTCGGGACAGCCTGGCAAGGCGGCCGAGGTGGGGCTGGTCATGGGCCATCACCTCCCATTTCGGCCCATCCTGCTGTCCTCCACTGTGCCCCGCTGCCAGACCCCGACATGGTCGAGGTCGCAACGGTGCTGGGTGCTCGTGCCCATGGGGGCAGACACCTTCTGTGGGACGCAGGAGCCGAGCATCCTGCAGCACCAGGAACGGATGCAGCCGGTGCCCAGGAACGACAGGTCATCCCAGGCACAGCTCCTCGCGACGGGATCCTCGAGGCCAGGTGTCCCTCTCCCGGGCCCCCAGGGAAGATGCCCTGGCCAGCAAGCACCTGGACACCCGGATCCTCGGCCCCCTCCCACCACATGTGGTTGGCACGCCAAGCTTAGAGTAGGAGGGGCCAGGGCACAGTCGCCACAGAGCACGGAGCTGAGGGCCCGGTAGGGGCCGGGCCGGCACAGGGACCGGGTGGTAGGAAGGACTCGAGATCCTGTGCAGCCTGGCTGGGCCGTGTCTGCCACCCAGCTCCTGACAGTCACCCCAAGGGGACACACCGGGATTCACCCCACATCTCCTGGGGCTAGGCTCCCCAAGACCTGCCAAGACCCGGTCCAACACCACCTGGGGCCAGGCTCATCCTAAGACCCACCGGGATGGATCCACCCCCACGCCTCCTGGGAACAGGCTCGCCCCAAGGCCTGCTGAAACCCACCCCAATGCCTCCTGGGGCAGGGCTCATGCCAAGACCTGCTGGGATCCACCCAGTGCCTCCTGGGGCTGGGCTCACCCCAAGAACTGCTACCATGGACACCTGTCAGGACCCACCCCTGCCTCCCGGGGCCGGGCTTGCCCCAAGACCCACACTCACAGGCACCCGTGGGGCCCACACCCACAGGCCCACCCATGTCCCGAGGTGCTGGCTCACCTAGGCGCAGCTCCCCGAAGTTGCCGCAGCCGATCTTCTTGCCAACGCGGAAGTTGGGGCCCACCATCAGGACCCCCGAGCTGGCCCCGGCGCTCCGGAGGCCGTGACTGCTGCGGCCCCCACCAGCCTTGGACATCCTCCGGCCCTCCTCCGACTCCCCCTTCCCGCCTTTCTTGTCAAAATCCATAAGTTTGTGGTACCCCGGCCTCTCCACGATGCCTCCACGGGCGCAACTCCGAGGCTGCGGAAAGCCGGTCCCGGCGCCCTGGGGCTAGCGCATCGTCGTGGCGGGGCGGCGCGGGCGCA